ACAGGCGTATGATCAGGGAAAATAAACATATTATAATATAAAATACTGTCTGTAGTTTACGCGAGTAGTACGCAATTTAAATAAAACGCGTATCCCCGTGACCACGGCTGTGGCAAAGCGTCCGAAACGGACCGAATTTAAAAAATAATCAAATAAGTTAACTAATATATATCGCGTTGAAACCATTAAAGCGTTCTGTTTAAATATATTAATATGATTATTTTATTACGTATTACATTAACTTAACTTTTATAGGATATGAACAGTGACGGATATAAAATTTAGTAAAATATAATCGGATATTGCTGCGCGGCACCTGTCAAAAACTAATAATCTCTTTAATATAAAAAGTTCAGCCTTAGTGCTGGCAGAGCTCAGCTGGCTTCGAATTTTAATGCTATTTTAACTTTAAATATAATAGTTTTATAGTCATTTATAGTTTCATGACTTAATTATAATTTGAAAAGGAAAGTTTATATCATATTATAATTACTAATGTTTAAATGAACATCATTTGAAACCTAAGTACTGTTTGTAATATGAGCGAGTAGCAAATAAAACACGTATAACGGTTTAAAAAGCGAAACGTATTAGTTAAACTTATTTACAAACGATTTACCGCCCAACGTTTCGTATGCTTTGTGGCTATCTTTTCTTTAATTTGTCATCATTTCTACCATCAATCAACAGATGGCACTAGCGTAGCAGTTTTGACTTTGACATTAGGGACCTCCATCTTTAGTCTTCCCACGACCACGGCTGCTGAAAAGCATCTGAAACGTCGCGTTAAAGGTATAATAATTTGTAAATAAGTTTAAATAATACATTTAAAATTATATAAACCGTAAGAAGTGTTTTATTTCAATTAAGTATAAAATCTAGTTTTTCCTACTTATTTTTAAGTCAAATGAAAAAACCCAGGGCCGCGATTTAAGGTTAACACTAAATCATAGCCACCGATTGGGTCCTTCTGTAGCGTAAATTACGTACTTAAAATGTCATACGTATATATTAAGGTAACTTAATGAAACTTTTGTTCTCATCAGCTTTCGATAAATAAGAGTTCTAATGAGAAACTCGACAGCGTCAAGGGCTTCAGAAAAGTTTTATTGGATTGACTCGAGATCTCTTAACTGAGAAGATACGACTGATTATCACTTTACGTGTCGTTAATAAACTTTGTGTTGTCTATCTTGATGAGGAGAAATTAGCTACTAAACAGAATAAGAACAATAATATAATACTGTCTGCAGTTTACGCGGGTAGTACACATTTAAATAAAACATTTTAACGGTTTCAAATGCGCTATATTATTTCCATTTAAAAATTATTTGTAACTACGGCCCGACATTTCTAAGACGACTTAAGATGGAGGTCTTTGACGTCAAAATAAAAAACTGCAGCGCTGGCGCCATCTTTTCCGTCAAAGGTGGTATTTGGCGAAAGTTGCATTTTAAACCGTTAAAGTGTTTTATTTAATCAATAATAAAAGTTTTAGTCTACACATACTAACGCCTTTATACTGTAGAGACGTTGATTAAAATAACTACGTTTAAAAGGCCTTTTTATATTCGTTACTTATAAAATGGAAAGAGCTAGACATCAATGCATACCAAAGTTTTAAAGTTATAGTATAGCTTTACAGTCACATAAAAATTATAAAAAACATTTTTCATTGGTACCAAGATGAAGTGCTCGCCAACGCCCCTTGAATCACTTAAGGTGTCCTAACAGGATTAACAAACTACCCTTAAGTTTTTGAATCCAACAATATTTTCCTGTTAAATAATATTTTACTAGTTGAGCCCAAACATAAAAATTATAAGAAAGAATGAAGGCTAAACTGAACTGCACTTTTTAGCAAGTGTATAAATAAAAAAATATAACATTTAACGGTTTAAAACGCGAAATATATTAGTAAACTTACTTTTAATTGACTTAACTATGTCCCCCTGTGACCACGGCTGTTGCAAAGTATCCGAAATATTCGGGTTGTAATTATAATAAATGAAGTAAATGTTCTCCATTATAAAAATCCCTTAAAGGTATCTTAAAAATTTGGATAATACATTGGTGAAAATGGCTGGTAGAAATAAGAAAACTGCGTACGGGTCGCTTGCCACTGTCCACAGATTAAAAAGTTTCGATTAAGCATCACGGATTCATAAAAGACACGTTCTATTAACTTCCAACTACAAAGCCAAATAGGTAGCTTTTATGTTATAACCTTAAAATAAAAATAAATGGCTGAGATATTTTACTTACCACCAAAGGAATGATTGTTTTCCTCTGTCATAAAAAAAAATAGTAATCGATTTTCCACAGCGTAATACACGTTTGTGTTTACGATAGTGTTGTCGTACCTGAAATCACGCAAGAGACCGCACTTACCAAGAATCATCGCAGTGGATACGGCTTTTGAAAGAAAAGCCAAGAGTTCAGAAAGATGTATTGCTGGGACCTTTATAAAAGCGGTCGCCACCGACTAAATTGTTTTTCTGCCCGCGAGCGATTTGTCGCTTAGTGCTCGCGCAATATTAAACACCCAGCTTGAAGTGCCAGGCGTTCTGAAAGTTCTTCGACCTTAGCATTCATGGAAGTTGGTGCGTTGGGTTGGTTATGTTTAGATACATAATATAGATTCATACATCTCTTTAAAGGGGGATTGAGATAATTTGATGACACAACAGGACTCGGTAGCGCAATTGATAAAAAAAAATTCTTGCGCGACCGAGCTACGATATTTTTTTATATTTTTTTTCTTTATGTATGCTTCTATTTTGATTGTTTTTTTTTTGTATTAACAAATTTGGATACCTTCGTATCGTAAAATAGAAAGTAGGCAATTATAATGTCAGCCTCTAAAATATACGAACGTCTGTCTGTTTTAATACACCATTTTATAAACGCTGCCTTTTTATTGCTGCGTGGCTTTCAAAAATCTAGCTTCATATTTTTTTACTGACTCTGCGATTATTTTACACGCAAATGCCCAAATTTAATGGTATTAAATGAAAGAACGACAACCACCTCGATGGCACTTGACTTACCAAATCTTTTCAGATAAGACACTTAAAATATCCCGTGAGGAACCTTACATTTCTTATGAAAAGATTTGAGAATGTAAAGGAAAATCAAATCTCGTTTCAGTGCTCTGTATTATAAATAAAGGTAACCGTGTAATATAATAACAGAGCTTAGGTTCCAGACTATAGTTACTTGAGAGTATCTATACTAATATATAAAGCTGAAGAGGTTGTTTGTTTGTTTATTTGTACGCGCTAATCTCACGAACTGCTAGTTCAAATTGAAAAATTATTTCTGTGTTGGTTACAGCATTTATCAGGCATTTATTTTTAATTTAATTAAATTAAGGCCCGACGTTTTGGATGGTTTGCAGCAGTCGTGGATACGGGGGGACTGCAGATACAGGGTTTTCCTACTGTTAAAATTAGTACGGTAGCGCTATCTATTTTATCGGAGTTGGGATTTATGAAACAACAAAATTTTTTTCAATATAATTTTTAATTTATGTAAAGTAAAATCAAATCTATACGCAAGCGTCATATTAATAATGTAATATTGTAAGCTGAAATATATAAGAGGAGGAAAAATATAGTCTTATTTAATAAGAACACGCCGCTATAAACAAAGCTTGCAGCATTGTTAATTGTTTACACAATATCTTGTCTAAAGTATGTTCTAATGTTGCCTTTTCAAGCTATTGTATACGGAGTGACGGCTCAATTCATACAGCTTTTAACTCAAGGTACGCGAAGCTTTTACTCGCAGAGGAAGTGCGATAAAATTGTTGCGTTCCCTTAAGTAAATCTTAAATGAGGCTTGTTGCTTTTGAGTAAACATCACGAACTTTCAGGTATGTTTCAATAAAAAATCTTTGTACATTTTCTATTATAGTGTATGAGAAATCATTTTATACAAGGTTTAATTAATTTTAATAAAAGTAAAATGATTGGCGAAGGTATTTCAGGACATTAACATTTTCATTTACGAAATTTAAAATTTTCGAAATAAATTTTGTTGTCAAGTTTCTTTTTGCGTTAATAGTGTCAAATACAAAATATATGTAACATTTAAATAAAACACTTTAACGATTAAAAACGCGTTATATTTATTTTTAACTACGGCCCGACGTTTCGGACGCTTTGCACTAGCCGTGGTCACGGGGAGAAAAATTTAACTACACTATACCGCGTTTTTAAACGTTAAAGTGTTTTATTTAATTGTGTACTGTAACATTTTGTGTTTGACGCTTTAATATTTTTGAAATTGTATATAATGGCATTTTACAAATTAAAAATATATTCGAATTAAAAAAAATACGGAACTGGCGGAACCGGCATCCACATCGTTCCATACTGCTGCCAATTGAGCTACCAATCAAACCGTGTTTTTTTAAACCTAAATAGATTTTTACTTTATACATGATGTGTGTTTATTGAAATGTTATTATTATTTCTATGGCAAGATTATGGTTCCTTAACTACCGCCATTTCAATATAAAAGTTATTTCATCAATCAATCTATGAAAGACTACAAATTTTAATGCACTGCATTATATGGTTTAATTTTTACATAGTTGTTATTACAGGTAAATATTGTACTTTAGTAAACAAAACAATCTTATTTCGTATTCTAAGTTTGTAAAGGGTCTAAATTTGGGTACGTCAACAAAAACTTCTTGATTGGTTCTTTTCTTTTTCCAACTGCTCTTAACAGGTTGAGGTGAGGTCTTATACAATTTTGTTTTTAATATAATTTTGGATAAAACTAGATTTCGTTAGAGATACCCGATTTAGTATTTTATTTGAAATATAAAACCAAACCATTTGAATTAAAATATGTCAAAGAGGTCAGATTTTAGGGCTGTCGTTGGTAGCCATTGTGTAGGGACCTAAACTACCGTGAGCAGTACCGTAGTCCTAGCCACGAAAAGAGAACGATTGAATTGCTACGAAAGTGAGCTAAAATAATGTTTTTTATTCAGGCATAAGTTGTTCATACGGTACTTGTTTGAACAAAATCGATAAATTGTTTAAAACTGACGATGTGAGATATTCACAAATCGATGGACCAACTTCAGCCACAACTTCCCTCCACATTTCATTAATGAGCTTGTTGATTTGATCACCTGAAAAAGAAAAACGTGTAACCAAGTATTCTATGAAATTGTCAAACTAGAACAAAGTTACATAACATCTATTCCATTATTCGTTTCATATTATGATTTAGAATTTAGTAATACTAGTTACCTGAGATGTGTCTGTAGTTTACGCGAAACGTATTTAAATAAATCACTCAATATACATTAGTTAAACTTATTTGAAAAATATTTTTACTTCCGCCTGACGTTTCGGATGCTTTGCAGCAGCCGTGGTGACGGGGGTCTCTCGTTACCGTTACAGTGTTTTATTTAAATACCTGACATTTGCTTATATAAATTAAAAAATAACCTTCGTACAGCTTCAACCATCCCAGGAAAAGCAAAAAACATATGTCAGATTACAAATTTGAGATATTCTTAATATAATCAATATATATTATTACATGGGCACATGAAACCGTATGACCATTAAACATTTTTAACTGTTATATTGGAATTATTTTCCTCACCTATAGCTTTATCTTTAAATAGATTATCCAACTTAAACGTAGCTCTTTCCATTTCAAACTTAACACTGTGTTTTGTGATATTCCAATGGATTTGACCATCATCTTTAGTAACATGTTCATACCATATTTGGAGGTGTAAAAGAGTATTTTCTGAAATAAATACTAATAATATAGTCTAATTAACATGTATATAAGTTATGACTGTGATGAAGGAGAAGAAGTATTATATCTTGCCATCCATGGTAATTGCTTGTAAATAAAAAAAGTCAGTGAAACGAACGTACGAGGCGCGTATGTTGCGGATAAAAAATACCTTAGATAAAAATATGTTTAATTAAGATAGGAATATACTTTACGGTACTGCCTTTTTCCTGTAAATTGAAAAAATAAGCAGTAAAATATGTTTAAAACAAATTAGACCTGTTAACGAAGCGTTATTATATAATGACGACGCAAGAAGTTCTTAAAGCGTTGTAAACATATTTATGTTTCTTTGAAATATTTAAAGCAATGTGTTCGTTGTTTCTTACTTAATTTAATGGAAGCGTCACCACTAGACCGTATCGGCAAAAGCAGAATCTTTCCGCTGATCTCATATACGTTCTTTACATCAAGATTAACCAATGCATCCGCTATTATAAATTTTTTGTCCAGGTCGAATCTGAAAGAAAACAATAGTAATTCTTGCACCAATGACTAAAAATAATTTAATTTCAAAAGTTTACTGCCCATTAATAATGATAATTATTCTTCGTGTTAGATGAATATAGATCTCGAGTGATTCTGGATTCTGATCTAGGAATACATAAAACAAAATGCATGACATAAAAGTCTAACTATGTAAAACAGAAATAGTGCAACAGACACCGAACTGTGTTTGCCCCATACCCCGCACAAGCACCCGAAGAAAGTATCTGACTATAATCGAATTTTGAGCAAACGATCGTGTGTTCAGATCATTAATTCTTTTGTTCATAATTAACCATCTGTGGTTAATTACGACGCTCTTCTTGAAGGCGTCATGATGTTATTCATAATTAGAGGCTGGAAGCTAATTGCCTGTAAGCTGATTTACTAATAGTTCCCTTTAAATTAAAGCACTCATCTGGCAAGATTAATCTATTCTTGCCTCTAACCTCCTTTACATGCTCGTAATAGCCTCATTATATTAACCGGGGAGATGTGGAGAAGATTAACGATTCTTTCAGTTTATGGATGAATGTTCTACTCTTTTGTTTAAACTATTGATTTGATTTTGATGGTCTAGGTGTCAAACGATTGGTGTTGGTCGTGTCATAGACAAAGTCATTATGATACATTGTTTAAATAAAGATAATAAATACCCTATGTTTAAATTAAATTTGTATAATCTACATGTTTACTCGTGTCTTAGATTTATAAAACTGTTTCTTGTTGGCATTAGACAATTTACCAAAAAAAATCGTTTTCTAATATTATTAAAAATAAACTCGCCTCTTTCTTCTTGACTTAGTATTGAATTGATACTTAAAAAGGGATTTTTTAATCTTACTTCAAATTAAGAACCATTTTGTAGTCGTTATAAAACCGTACCTTAAATCCACAAGTTGTAGCTTCGAGAAACCCTTGAAATAATTATCTTTGAAGACAATTCTTAAGCCATTTTTGTCAGGGACATGTACCCTCATTTCAGCAACATATAAGGGATCTAAAGAAGGCATGAGCCTCTCGGGATCTCCCAAGGAGAATTGGTGAATTGAATCATTAGCTGATTTCAAGGCACATATGTTCAAATTTGGATCATTTCTGGAGCACGACTTGATGTAATCAGCTAGAAGGGAAGATTACGTATTTATTTAAAAAAAATGGCTTACATTTTTGAAAAAGCATATTTAAAGTACACATTTTTGAAAGAATCTTAGCCATAAGTAAGAGGTATGATAAGATTTGACTATTATGTTCTCCGCTTAGTGATCAACCGCATGTTCGTGTAAGAAGACCGGTATTGGTCCTTCAAAGGTTGTGGTAGCCTTAGTAGTTCGAGGCCCGTAATAACGTGGAGGTTCAGTGGGGCACAGAAATGTTATCATATACTTAAGTTTAGAAATCGATCAGGACAACGAACATAGACATTTGTGTTATATTATTGTAATTGTGCGCAAAATCAGATTTTACGTTACATATATTCGATTTTACAACTACCCGCGGACTGACTTTGTAGAGTGAATGTATATACTCTTAAAGAAATATCTGAAACTGATAGACGGTATTTTTTAATAAATTATCGTGATAAGAAACTTACGCAAACCCAGAGACGAAACACTCCAGACAGCTAAAAAGAAAACTAGAACTTGGCACAACATCCTATATGACCCTTACTTCTTGTATGACACTTTGTAACAGAGTTACCGCGTTCTACATCGCAACTTTATACACGAATGTCACACAAATTGTACGTTACAAGTCTTCATTAGAGCAGAGCACTTGGTACTACAGTGACGTCATAATTGCGAAAATAATATACAGTTTAGCTAAATATAACCTTAAATTATGGTTATTATTTTATGTTATTATATCCCTTTCAAGCAAAACGTTAAATGATACAAGATTCGTCGTCAATTTTTCTACGTTCCTAACTTTATTGATACTTTGTCGTTTTCTCTTATATATGTTTATTTATTAATAACCAATTTACACTTTTAATAGAAGATCTTAGTCTACATATTTTTTTTTAATATAGAGGAGGACAAGAGACATACCCCAGCCATATAACATCTAACCAAGATGCCTTGTCGATCTATTTAAACTTTAGATATTCGGAAAAATTAAATGACTTTTAGGTCGTATAATAAAACAAACGAATTGAAAACTAAATGTATATTTCGTAGAATTTTATCAACGTCCCAGATTATTTCTCTATGAATTGAGTTAGGTCGCCGGAGAGGTAATTAGTTGCTTTTACCCTTCCGAAGAATCTGTGTATGAGGTCGTACGCTATGTCAGTAGCAGATACTAGTAGAGATTTTCCGAACGTTTTCCATATTGTTCTCGAGTTCTGGTTGTAGTAGTCAGTGATTACTTTACCTGAAAAACATTTTTAATTACTAGGATTTCGTGATATCCGTATAGTCGAGGTTGGAAATAGTAAAAAATGTGCTTAGTGCAAAATGAAGATAACAGACGGCTCAAGTATTGGTGTATGAGAGAAAAATATAAAATGTACAAACGTTTTTACTCTTTAAATAACGAAGCTCAATAACATCTTAGTTACTTGAGATTAAAAGACTATTTAAAGTATATCATGTGAATGTGAAAAGTATATCCATCCAAAATTTAAAAAGCAAAATTAAGAACGGAACTCAAACTTGCGATATATACAAGTTTTGACATGCGACATCACTTCTACAGGCGTTTCTGCCTATTTCAATTATGGTCTTCACCCAAAGGCAACTTGACACGTTAGTTTAAACGTGTATTTTACTTACTTGAGTCAACATCTCCAATAAACAAATTGTCCAAGAACAGCGTGCTGCTTCCTAGTAGATCGAAGTCAAAAGTAGCCAGATCTTTGTGACAATCTATGTAGATTTCTCCATCAGAATGCTTGGCCACGTCAAATTTGAAACCAAATGTTATCAAGAGCTTTTCTGTAACGACAATGAATATATCATTTAATACAGGGGACAACCCGTAGAAAAATCGGGGAAATTTATTTATCTTTGAGGGTTTTAGATGCGTGAACTGCGTTTTCTATAAATAAACTAAAAACACGACACGTCCACTACAGTATATGTTCTAAAAATCAAATTTCGTCGAAATATATAGCAGGAAAACATATGCCAGGTCAGCTAGCAATTTGAAAGAATCGAAATGACACTATATTTGAGTTACAATTGTTTTAATTTCTTACTATTAAGAAACTTCAACATGATCTTAAAATTATGTTATGTTTATGACTCATGTATTTGACTTGTTTTAGACCAAAGAAAAGTCTTGACACTCACCTATTTTCACTTTAGCGTTTCCGTTTCCTTTCAAGACACCACCACCAAAGAGGTCTTTCAAAGCCGGGCTAGACGCAGTGACGTCATATTTACCCTTCGCTGTGATATCACACAATAACTTAATTATGCCGCTTCCTTTTTCCAAGCGCAACCTTAAATCGTATAATTTAGTTAAGATAACATCTAACTTATTATAACATCGTTGAGGAGACTTCCTCTACTTTGACGTTGTTATATTTGTTTTAGTACATAATTATGGGAGATTCTACGTGTTATTAGAATTTTACTTTTGTTTATAGAAGTAAAATAGATAATAATATTATATAGATTTTTTATATGTTTATGAGCTTAAACGGAAGTAATATACTGATAGTACTGAGTTTCTTAAAGATCAGATCAACTATTCCAGAACTTACTTACAGCTTTACTATAAACGCTACCCGTCAAGGCCCTAACTTGTAAATAGTTGCAATTGATTTTCATAAAAACTTCTTTGTTATTATTATTTCTTATGTTTTCCAGATAATAATTATGCAAATGTACGATGACAGAATGCAACGATAAACCGGATTTTAATGGCTAGATGTCGGCTGAACTATAATTTAGAGCGACTTGAACCTCTCTTTTTCCAATGCTACATGAATCATACTTGTAGATCTTTGTTTCAATGTAGATTGTATATCTGTGGTAACTACTATTAACCATACTAAAAACCTATTCTATCCACAGAATATTAAAATACAACATTTTTAACAGTTTAAAACGCAAAATGTATTAAGAGTAGTAAGTTAAACTTATATTAAATGTTAAACTTATTTTCATATTAAATACCGTATGCAATTTACGCGAGTACACATCTAAATAAAACACTTTAATGGCTTAAAACGCGATATACATTTGTTAAACTTATTTTTTTTTAATTTTACTTACCGCTTGAAGTTTTTTAATATTTTATGACAGACAAGCAAACATATGAGTAAGATGTGTTTTCTACCTATTGTGGCTTTGGAGTTTTGAAAATTCGATATGTTTTTATGTTTCTCAATTCATTGATATTTCCTCATAATGTTAGTCACGTAGAGACAATATTTTATCAAAATAAGTCCAACCGTTGAGCCGTGAAATATTTAGCAAAGAATAGAGTACTTACTTCACTTCCGACACATCACAATCCTTCAAACCTTTAACATGTCCATCGCGTATTGTTAATTCGGCCATGTTCAATAAATTTAACTTCACATTGCTCAAGTGCAAAGGGTCGATTGGAGGAATGTCATATTCTGGTATTCCGGTTGATGAGATGCCAACAAACACGTCTTTTAATACCTTTTTTAAACAGTTCCAATCGTTATGCTGGCATTTGTGCAAGGTATCCACTAAAATATGCATAAAAAAACACAAGTTATGTGTTTATAATGAATCAAAATATTTAAATTCAAATAAACGTATTTAATTTGTTTATGAGATATGCGCAGAAGTTAAAATGATACAAGTGCGAGGAGATAATCTTTGCCATCATATAACTAAATGTAATATAAATTAATAAACAGGTAAATAAGAAAGCATTATAATGTTAAAACTACAAACTATTGAATGTTCAAAATTAATGATTAATATCAACTATTATTTTAATACTAATATTGATGCAATTCTGTATAAAAATCCTGTATTTTTGTTTATAGTTTTATTTTTTTTAAAACTTTATTATTTTTTATATGTTATTGCTCAAGTATAATTTAAAAATCGAAAAGAAATTGAAAATATTTTCGACTCGGGCAGGACTCGAACCGGCATCGTCAGCGAGCAACACCACGGAACGCTGACGATGCCGGTTCAAGTCCAATTATTATTAGTATTATTAACCAATTCGATTTAGGCTTTAATTTTAATGAGTTTTTCGAGTTTTATTAAAAAATATATATAATAATCATCATGTCACCAATACCAATATAAGCGTGTATTCCTTCGTATGATAATAATTTGTATTAAATTCTATTTAGCTTAAAGTTACATACGAATATTATTATTTTATTGACATATCGTATTTTTTTTAAATGGCTTCGCTATCTCTATTAATATTTCAAACTCACCAAAAGCGGAGTCGCAATACGCTAAAAATGCGTAAAACAAAACAATGTGTTTCAACGTGAACATTTTTTGGCACCTGCACTGGCCCTCGAATATAATAAAACACTGTGTCTTTGTTGATTCTAACTCATATTTTATAGCTCAAAATACTGTCCGTATACATTTTATTAAAAACACTGTAAACCTGTTTTTAATTACAATCGTAACCCTGACCATGCGTTTGCAAATTAAAATTGAAACAAGTGCCAGCATCGGACTTCGTTCATCCTAATTGTTACGTTGTTGAAATAAAATAGCGAGTAGTTTTACGACACGAGCGGGACTCGAACCGATATCCACATTCTCTATCCAATTAAGCGTGTAATGTTTTTCTTTTTTTTAAACTGATAACCATCAGGTTATCTTGGTGGAGAGTGAAATACCCCAGCTATATAATATATCGAAACATGATACGCTGATGACATATTTGACTTTGGACATTCAGAAAGCCACAGATTGAAGTAGATTATTATTTTTAAGTAAATATAAATATTTCGGCCGGCGTTTGGTACAGCCACAGACGCTGTAAAGCAAACGAAACATCATGTTTAAATAAAATAAAATAAAGGCTGTTAAATACTGTCTATAGTTTACGCGAGTAGTACACATTTAAATAAAACACTTTAACGGTTTAAAACGCGATATATTAGTTAAATTTGAAAAGATCTTTAACTTCCCCAACGTTTCGGATGCTTTTTTAAACGTCGTTAAAAATCATTTTCAAATAAGTTTAACTAATATATCGCGTTTTAAACCGTTAAAGTGTTTTATTTAATTAAAGGCTGTTGTTTATGCTCGAATTATCGTCAAACAAAAAATGACTATTATTTAACTTTTAAATATTAACTGTGTAGTTAATATTCCTTAAAATACATCTAACAAAGCATTAATAATATGTTTAATATATAAAAATATTATATACCTTTGCACATAATCATACATAACGTAAATTAGTTAATATTTAATTAAAAAAGTTTTTTTTACACAGTCCTTATTACGCAGATAGATTAATTAAATACAATATAAAATGTTATAACAACTATAAAACGTCAAACAATACAAACATTCCTATTAAAATTGTATGTGACTACAGGCTTACAGTTTATTCCCAGGTTATTAAGTGACAAATACACTTCTTGTATTTTTATATAATTAGTAGTACAGTAGTACAATGTCTACGATTTATAGTAAGAACATGACAGAGTTAAAATCAAAAAAATATATAATTATTTGTCAGTCAATCCTGCGCCATGTATGATAATGGAACTGGTACTAAATGTAAAGTTAGATTCTGTGTCTGTGTTTTGACTTTGACTTTGATTATTTAGAATTATAAAAAATGTGGACAAATATTTCAATATGGAAAACGCGTGTGAAGCAACTCGTTTGACCTAGTTAAAATAACGATGATTTAATTTCTATAAAAAGTAATTAGTATTCGAATATTCGATAGAATTTAGAAAATATTTTTCGAAGAATGGACTAACTGGCTCCGATACGCGTTACTTAACGAAGCGTCCTATACGAATTTTTAACTTTTGAGAGTCGAGATCTAAATTGTTAAAGTACTAGTACTGTGTCAGCGATTTCGTCCGCGTGTTTTTGTAGATCACAATATATGTTAGCAAACCTTCTCTTCATCTTCATAGATTTAAGCTGTTGTCCACGATGTTGGTCGGGTCCCGTCGTTATTTCAAGCTAATCTCCAAATATAGACATAGTTATAGTTTCGCGGATATTTTACTTAGATTATTTAAAGAGGAATATTTTTTTGGTATCTAGAGACGTTTTCGCAGCGCAATGGAAACACACAGGGATGAATATTTTTTCCTCTTTTTTTTTACATTTCCTATTGTTTCTCTGCTCTTTTAAGTCGCATCGCGATGTTTTAAAGCCTTTCTCGATAAATACTCTCATTACAAAAAAAATATTTTTCAATTCCCACTAGTAGTTTCAGAAATTAACGCGTTCAAATCAGGTATGGGTCGGGTCTTATTTAAGTCCTAACCAGAGATATAGGATAAATAAAGACTGAACCGATGTTATACATAACGCTATTTTCGACTACTTACGGCTAATTTGTCTCTGGACGGTGATTTTTACGAAGGACCTGGAAATAAATTAGATATATGTATGTCTGTCTATCAAGTTTTACTCGGTTGGTCATCCCATTAGTCCACGAGCGCGTCAATATTTTAATATTACTGTGTTATTATGCATTGAGGCCTTAATAGTTCTTCGCATTTTATAGCTATGTTGAGAATAATTGTTATAAATACATCGTGGTAGTCATACGATATTTATGACGGTCAGAGGTTAAGTCTGTATGAGACCTACTTGGCAAAATTCCACAGGATAAAATAGTTCTGTTGGCATTACATACATTTCAACACGTGTAAACATAAATGTGTTGAGAGTGACCTAATGGATAGGTATCGAGTAATATTTTAAGTGAAAATTATTACGAGCTCGTTGGTCTAATGGTAGCAATTTATGGCTAATAATCGTATGGACGTGGGTTCGATCCCCAGGACCCCGGTCTCACCAGGTCCAACATGTAACTAATTTACAATTCAAAATCAATTTATATTTTTTCTGAAACATGTTGGACTTCTTCGGACTGGAAATCTGGATATGAAATGGGTGGTAGTAATATAGAAATTCCGTCCGGAAACCACGCTTTCGGTTTAAGTCTCTAGATTACCGAATATCCAAAGCCAAAATAGGACGGCAGCGCATCTAAACAAGCGCAATGCGCTTTCGACCTATTTATCGGCGGGTATATCACCTATCATACAGTGGACCCCATGCTTGTCTGTCCTCCTCTACCATTAAAAAAATCGCGATTCAAACTTGGGCATCTTGTGCCTCGTCGCTATTTAATAAAACCACGTAATTCAATACAAAATTGTATTTAATAAATGCTCAAAATATACTCGAATTGAGAACGTATAAAGTCTAATTCCTTTGTACAAAATGCCGTTTCTGCTGTAACGTCGTAAGGACATCGCTTCTCGTTTTAATTAATCAAAAACGGGGATAAATCGTCCGCAATATAATCTCTGGTCGGTATATTGCCCAAGAAAATCTTGGTGTATTTGTTGTAAATTTTCAAAGCTTCGTCGACGAAGATTTTTCCAAACGATTGCATTATGGATTTCCAATTATCGTTCAGGTAATTAACGACGAATGGTGCTATAAATAAACAAGTTTGTTAATAGCAATATTATACTTTGGGATTGCATTAAATACAGATTTAAAGAAAAGTAACCAAATGTTGAAAGTACGTTCTTGTGGCATCAAGTAATAAAAATTATATCATTCATGGGTTGTTGTTTAATGCTTTTTGATTTGTACAATCCAACAAATTACTAAGCCTATATATAAAATTTACATAAGTCAATCAGTTACACAGGTCAGATTTATCTGGCCTATATATACACAGTAACACATGCAGTGTTTAAAAAAAGCTATTCATTTATTGTATTTCTATGCTAAACATTTAATAAATAAGGCAATACTAACCAACATTATCATTTCCAATGAAAACCTTGTCTGCAGTAAATGTCACCTTTGCAAGATCCATCGTATAGTCAAGATGCTCAAACTGACCAACAGCATAAATGTTATCGCCTCGTTTTTCCAAAGTAATCGGGAAGTAGAACTTGATGTTTAATTTTTCTGAAAAAAATAAAAATAAATGAATGGTAACAAATGTTTTACACATTTGTTTTAATATTGCTTATTCTCGTACTTAGACTTCAGAGGCTTTATAATTAGAGAAGTCGTTACCAAAATTGAATAAGATTTGTTGAATTATTTTGTATTGTGTTCTATTTCCTCTTTATTTTTCGTTCTCTCTTTCCACCTTTACAAGAAACAGAGTCGATCTTTTTTGGTTCTGTATATTCAGAATTGCTTCGTTCTATTAGTTGTATTATAAAATATCTAATTTTTAATGAGGATACAGAAGGTCTTCCTTGTGAATGACTATTTTTTATAAAGTTTACTTACCCATTTTTACCTTTCCATTACCCTCTCCTTGCAGACTGTCACTGCCTAACAATGCTTTTATCGTTGGATTTGAAGCTTTCAACCGGTACACTCCCTTTATTGTTATATCACATGTAAAGTCTTGGTAACCCATTTCTTTGTCGAGGTTTATCCTTAAAACAAAAAAAAATCCTAAGTACTGGGAAGATAAAATGAATGATGCAACATTCAACACAAAGAAAATTTATCGAAGTGAACATCTCCTGGATATGTTTATTTAATATAAATATAAAACAAACCAAGCGCGAGTCGGACTTGACCTTCGTGCGGTCATAAATCCTTCATCGAAACGTCTTGCAGATGTTATTTATGTATATGTATAGGAATACCATTATATATTTATACTATTGTACCTATCCAGGGGCAACAATGTCAAAATGGTTCGAGCGCATCTTGTCAAGATGTTCTGTGGCTGGGTTCTGTGGCTTTTCTTCTACTATCATAAAACAAACATTATAAGTGAAAACATATTTTTAAAATTCCCATTATGGGTACTTTTTTATCCTCATCTTATTTCTTTAATTAAAACGCACTAAGGTGCTGTAAAAAAATACGATAACTATATGGAGGCACTTAAAAAGCAACAAAAAAATATACTGTAGTGAATTCATTTAACATTATTTTATTTCAAGTTCAGTTTAAACTGGTGTTAATAGGATAGTTAATTAACAAATGTCTTTATTTTAAGTAAGGATGTGTTAGAATTTTTTTTACTATGAGGAAAATCACTATTACGAATTAGCGGGTATATCTGGAAATACGCATTTTCAATATTATATGCTAGAGCATGAAGCAGATATATATTTGTGCCAAACATAGATTTAATTAAGTACGAGTACTTGATACTTAAATTTTTATTTAATTTATTTACTAACTAGACTATATACTACTAATACATAAAGCTGAAGAGTTTGTTTGAACGCGCTAATCTCAGGAACTACTTATTCGTTTGGTTGTATAAAAGAATAATTCTTCTTTAAATGATCTAAATAATGTCAGCGACATTATATATCTTTTAAGATTAACTTGCAAGAACGAAGTCGTTAAATTTATGGAGTTTAACAAGAGGTGCAAAAACAAATTTAGATTCTAAAAATAACTATTCCACCCGGAAAAAGTCGCTGATACAGCTAATTATACATAATTTGGTTTTTAGATCTTCTTTATTGTTTCTTGAGAGGGCACAAAGAAATATTTAAAATTTTATATGTAAACTCCGTATTCAAAGCTAAGCCATCACGGCTGATACACTAACGTGGAAAATTAATCTAATTACTTACCTAAAACTGTTAAAGACGCATTTCTTAATACCCTTAGCGAAGCCGTCTATTAAGGTAATATTCAATATATCTAAGACTCGTACAGTGACGTCCTTTACCGGAAAGGGGTCAAGTACAGGGATTCCGATTTCTGGTGCACCAGATTCCCCCATCTTCTTCAGTGCTTGTTGAAAGAAGCCCTTCAAACATTCGCTGTCCTTGATGGTACATTTAGGTGAAATGTCTACTGAAATAAAATAATATTTATTAGCTTGTTCACTGAACTATATGTGTTCTCTGCCAATTTGCATTATTGGTATCTCGGGAACAAAACATTTTATATTACAATGTCAATGTTAATTTTGGTTTCCAAATATAATAAGAATCCATTTCCTTCGCTAATAAAAGGGTAACAAACATTTATAACATTTAAGGATATCTTAATTCTATATATGTAACACATATAACTTGTCACTATTACAACGGGTAAAATTTATTTTAAATTGTTAAATAAGTAATACATCCTAAAAAAGAGAAATAGTAAATACAAAGTCAATTGTTCACACACGCAAAAGTGAAACCTTCCTGTTTTCAATACTTCACTGTGTGGCAAACAATTTTTTACACCCGTCACTTCTGTGCCTCGGATCGAACTCAGGACTTCTCGCTCTTAAGTCAAAGCTAGGCAACACATTTAACCATTTGGCTACACACACATACTATAACAAATATTTAGTGGTTAAAAAATTATTATGTTTATAATTACCAAAAGCGGCTCGGCTTAAGCCAAAAAGAGCACAGAACAACAAAAGATATCTTTGGTACTTCATAATTACAAGTAATCAGCACGTTGCACCTTCGCAGATTAAAAATTAGGATGCTGTCACCACCTTTTTATAATCACATTTTAAACAAAAAGCGGCTTAACATATTGGAATAATTATAAACACTTTTTATAACTTGTAAGTGTCATGTAAATATTATATAAATTAGAGAGAAAATTTTAATGCAATTAATGTCATCATGTTAACATAGTGAGTCACACTTATAATATACATTATTTTTGCTTTAGTATTTGTCTGTTTGTCATAGATTAATCAGCATCAATTCCATAATATGTATGTATGGGTGGTCATTGAATAATAAAACGTCGCGTAAAAAAGCAAAAGAATATTTCTTTTATACACTACGTTTATTAGATATAGTTTATAAAACTTTAAGAAATAATATAATATATAAGAATAGTATCGAAATAAAAAAATAGACTGTACCTATAATATAAAAATCGAAAATAAATTGAAAAAGTTATCGACTGAGGGCAGGATTTGAATCTGCAACGTCAGCGTTCCGTGGTGTTGCTCTACCAATTGAGCTACCGAGTCAGATTCAGAGCAACAGCACGGAACGCTGACGAAGCCGGTTCAAGTCCTGCCGGAGTCGAATATTTCTTCAATTTTATTTTCGATTTTTAAATTTTATAGTGCCATCAAAAAATAGACTCCTTTTATATGGCTTTACTATAATATACATAGATTTTGAGTATTATATAAATCCAAATTATTCAAAAAGTTGAAAAAAAACACGTAACGACTTAAAACTATATATTAAATATTTTTTTAGCTTGTATTTAACTACGATCCGACGCTTCAAATGCTTTGCAACAGCCGCTCAGCTACAAACAATGATGATTATTGAAAAAAAACTTTTCATGTAAAGAATTACACATTTGGGTATTTCGTTCAACGTATATACGTAGACACAATAGTCTTTGTCCAGTTTGACCTTTGCAAATCATAAAAAAATAACAAAAACAGCAAATGATAAGTCGAGAAAAAAAGGGTTTTTCGTTTAACATTGCATGGCAAAGAATTAAACGACATAAAAGAGTAACGATTCTCGCTTCGACTTTTGAGTAATTTTGTAGAGGCTAAATTAAATATTTCAACAGTTTCAAACACAAAAGTTTTACTTAAATGAACCTAATAAATCGTGTAAGGCTTTGACGGCCATTCTTCAGCATATCATTGTTTTTCGAGCTGTGTTTATCCTTCGAGCAATCGATGAGCTAACAACATCTCCTGATCATGGCAGCCACTCGCGATGGCGAAACGTCGTGAACCTCTACTCGCTTAAGTCTGTCGAACAGCCCGAAAAATAATTATCTTAAATTAAACTGCGAAGCATGTAAAAGGGTTGTGGTTAAAAATTCATGTCTATGATAGACAAAGATAAACTACCCCAGCAATATAAGATCTAAACAAGATGCACTGTCGATGTTGGAGAATTCAAAGATTTTAACTAAAAAGTGAACAAACTTGTGATCCAGACGGAATTGTAATGTTCCAATCATTTAAAATCCAATTTTCCAGACAAACAACATGTTTTAGAAAATACATTGGACCCAGTGGGGATCGAACCTAAGACTACGTCAGGTAAGGTAATTGCTACATTGAGAGCGTCGAATATATTTCGGGTTCCATTTTACTAAAATTAATAAGGCTGTTTTTGGATTAATATTAGACTTGCAACGAATATTCGGTTACTATTCGGTATTCGGCCTATTCGGCTGCTTTTATTATATTCGGCCGAATACCGAATATCTACATATTATTCGGCCGAATAACGAATACCTAAATAATATATTTTGTCATAGAGAAATAATTGGTAAAATGAAAAATTAAAATCGATTGCTTACGTATATATTCATATTTTTGTTTCTGTTATAATCATATAAGTAGTCATTGGTACATAATTGGTGGAACCCTCACGAGGAAAAATATATACTCATGCTTGAGAAGATCCAAAAAGCCTTTCTGCGGTTTCTTTACAAACACCAATACGGTTTTTACCCCTACTTGTATCCTACCTTGTTTTTATTAGGACAGCTTGGCTTTAATTCTCTTGTAAGTCGCAGATCTCGTGGGCAATTAGTTGTAGCTTGTAAGTTGTTTCGAAACCAAATCGATGATACTTATTTGAGGGAAGCCTTCTGTCGACTGTTTGTACCGAACAACTATGGCCGCGCTAGAAGACACGATCTCTTTGACGTCCCGAGAGGTCGCACCTCTGCTCGCGCGTTTTCGCCGATACCACGAATTTTAACCTCACTCAACGCTCTCCTCAAGTTAAGACCCAAATGTGATCTTTTCGCAGATCACTGGTCATCAATACTGAGAGAATTGTCTGATTTTTAAATTTTGTCCTAATGTAATTGATGCATACTCTATTGTTAAGTGTAATTCTATTGTGTACTTCTATCCAATTAATGTAAGTGGCTATCGCCGTTTTAATTGTCTTTATAATAAATAAATAAATAAAATAAATAAATAAATAATACTATAATAGTAGTAATTGGTACATAATAATAACGAGTACGTTAGAACAAAACAAAGGAGCGCGAAACAATCACGTCTGTACAAGTTTTTGGAGCAAAAATCCAGCCGAATACTTTTGCCTAATATTCGGCTATTCGGTCAGGGGTCTCGCCGAATATTCGGTATTCGGTATACTGCCGAATATACTATTCGTTGCAAGTCTAATTAATATTATTTTTAATACGAAGATGCGTGAAAATAAATCGCCTTATCATAATTTTAAAGCAATGTGCTTTTAAGGTTCTCTTGTAATAAACATTTACTAAGGTATATGATATAATGAAAAATAAAGCCTCCTTTTCTGAAAAAATACTTTAAATAAAATTGTTTTCAATTCTTTTCTATTTAATTCTTCTCTTATAAATATAAGAAAAAAATTAACTCATGTAACCGTTTCAAACTAAATTACTTTGATTTTTATTTGTATGTTTAATGTCTGCGTTTTAATTCGTTAGCGTTTAAAGCCTAATAGTCATGGGTGGGATATGCGTCATAATTTTTGACAAAGTAAAATGTAACTAAATTAATGTTTCCTTCTGACAGACCGTACTGTACCTTACGACCTTACGATTTTTACATAAAACCTAGTTCACTAGTGTTAATATATTTTCATAGCGATAAGTCTTTTTCAATCGGATTTATGAATAATCAATGATTGATTTTCTCACTACAACAATGATAGCTTTAACAATTGACTTAAAAATAATAATCTATTGAATTGACGTTTGTAAAGGCATTGCTAAAGCAACTAGTTCCCACAGCGTGTTGTAATAGAGGGAAAGTGGGCCAGTGAGCACACACATGTACGACGGAGAAAAATCAAGGAAATTGTACAAGTAATTAAATTCATTCAACTCTAATTCAAATTGGTGTTAGGTGACATTCCGTGCCAGGATTCTCTTTCATCACACAGACGTTCTAAAGAAAATTCTATCGACGAAGTCAATCTTTGAAGTACCTATATATTTTCTTAGACATATGTTACTAAAAACACACATTTACTAGTATTATTAGAATTGTCTCTTTATTAATGTCTATTATAATCATCATACATTGTCTATAGTATACGGGAGTAGTACACATTTAAGTAAAACGGTACGGTACGGTTTAAAACGCGAAATATTTTTGGTAATATCGGCCTAAATTATTTTAATTTCAACCCGACGATTCGGGTGCTTTGCAGCAGCGGTGCTCACGGGGGGTCAAGTTTAATAATATAATTATACCGTTAAAAGTATTTTATTAAACTTACGTATATGAAATTCTAAACTGTCACTTTGTAAATTCTGGTGATGAAAATATAATATGGAAAAAGTAGATATTAAATGTTTCAATTTTTTAGACCCGGGATCGCTCCTACGACCAGTTAATTATTATTAGCAATAAACCACTGCCAATAGACCTACGAGCCCATCCAACCTGATCACTTCAATATATTATATTAATATCTCAATCACTAAAACTATAACCGACCGTTGTTTCCTAATCGGCCTGGAAATAGGTAGAGCACCAATAGACGTAATATAACTTGGAAATACCTTGTTTGTTAACAGCTGTTTCCTTTCGAACAATGATTAAAATCATTATTTCGTAAGAAATTCGTTAACCTAGTTTATACGTTCTTAAAAAACCTTTGTCAAATCTATACTAATATATAAAGCTGAAGAGTTTATTTGTTAGAACGCGCTAATCTCAGGAACTACTGGTTTGAATAGATTTTATTTTGTGTTGGCTAGAACATTTATCGAGGAAGGCTTTAAAACATCGCTGTGGGATATGTGGAGAAATCGGGGAAAGTTATTCATCTTTCTGGGCTTCCGATGGGTACACTGCGAAAACGGTACAAGATGTCCCAAAAAAATTCACGCACAATATGTCTAAATTTTGTAGATTTACTTGCAAGAACGGCGGCAAGCTTAAATTTGGTTTGCAAAACAGTTTTTGATGTCTAAAATAACTATTCTACGCGTACGATTTCGCTGACAAAGATAGTATGATCTTATATTTATAAATTTATTTATTTACTATCCTCTTTTGTTTAACCATAAAATTCTAAACCATGTAGCAGTTTAGTTCAACTGGATCTATAATGTCAGTACCATTCGCCATTACCGCAAATTAACAGGCGGCGGAAACAAGACATAAAAACAGTATTTATTTATTGTAAGTGAAATCGAACTAACGAAACCCACTAGATGGCGCTGCAGCACTGATATTTACGCCAAAATCTAGTCAAAAGTAAGTTGTAAGAAAAATTAATAATACTTACCTTGCATCATACGGTACTGTCATGAGACAGTCTACAATTAGTTCGGCTAGGTAAACCCTTGACTAAAACACAACGTAATATTATGTTGTGTGAATTATTTTTTGTTGTAACTGGTATTTCCAAATTCCTGGTTTTATAGACAAAGACCATTTCTTAAAACTATTTTGTTGTTTTGAGTTAATGTTTATAAAGTAATAGCCAATCGAGTGTTAGCGAGTTATGTTTTTTATTTTATTCAAATTCGCAATTATAAAGAAAACACGCGATTGAAATTAGGTTAGGTTTATATAGAAAGAAAAACAATAAATCTTACGGAAAAAAAACCGACTTCAACGAGTAATCTGTGCATAAAATAAATTTAATTCGCACTAGGTAGACAGAAATTACTATATAAATATTTAATAATACTACGATAATTTAATAATAATATCTTTCTAACAACAAAAGGTCTGCAAATCGGCTTATAATCCACGAATCTATCAGCGCACAAACATTAAAAAGAATTTAAACGAATTGAAAAGTCGGCCTTTATTAAAGTCAGTTAAAAATAAACCACAGCTTATGCAAATTTTTTTAAATATTCGATTTGCCCAAACGAATTTGATTGCCTGTGCTCATTTGGCATGAACTCGATATTAAGCCCCAAAAACAATATACCTGAAAGAAACCAACAGAAATAGCATATTTCTTTTCCAAAGAGCATGTTAAGTGAAGTGTACTCTATTACAAGAGACTTAAGCACTCAGCTATTCCGAGCGGCTGTGAAATCTTGCTGACGTGAATAACCCTCTGTCCGTCCCCTTGTCATGCGGCCCTGACCTCGTAAGCTTTTTTAATTAATAACCACATAGGACCACGTGGATGGGTGTTTGAAAATCGGGGGCCTCAGCCAAGTTAACGGTTACAAATAACGAAGCAATGGATTGTCAATGACAGAGCAAAATTATACGTCAATTCCAAACGTCAATTCCAAGTCCTAGTTACTTGGCTGAGGTTCCAATACTTTCAAATGGAACATTGAAGATGATATAAATCTTTAAAAATCGAATACAAATTGAAATTACGACGCGGGCTGTACAAAAAATAATAAAGTTTTCAAAAGATATAATTCTTTTCAAGAAATCCATTGTTACAATCTTATTACCTTTTCCAAGATATCGCAATGTAAACGCAATGTAAAATATGATATAAAATATTATCAGTGCTAACACAAGGACCATTTAAACATATATTAATATTAAGCGGCTTTCTACAGGATATCAAAAATAAAATAAAATTATGGACTGCAGACCAATAATAATTTATAATAGCTACACCAATTATCCCAATAAAGGAAACTCTATTTTCTATAATGTTGAAAATCCCAAATACTACAATACAATTGCAACGTTGAATGATGAATACGGCGGTGTTATTCTGTGAGAAACAATAAAATAAAGATATATAGATAATTTCGCAAATGAACCGACAGTTTAACAAGCATCTAACTTATGGGTCAACTATTTTACCAAATTATGTATTTATCTCACGTAAAGGTCATTGTAATAACAAAACATCGGCACGTTAATGTTCACATTTACGATGTACAAATGGAAAACAAACAATAAACTAAGATATTAAGAGGATCATTACTTTAAGTAGCTTAACTTTTTGTCATAACTTATTATTATGACCTTACTTTCTCATATAAGAATTATTTCGCAGGCTGTTGAAAACAAGTGACAACTAACAATTTAATACTGTCTATAGTTAACGCGAGTTGTACACATTTAAATAAAACACCTTAACGGTTTAAAGCGGGATATATATTAGTTCCTATTTGGACATTACTTTTAATTACGGCAGCAGCCGTCGAATCTGCAAGGACCCGACCAGATACCAACATTTACAGAAACAAGATTTCGCCAAAAACTGTGAAGGAACAGATGGCGCTAGCGTAGCAGTTTTTACTTCGACGTCAGAGACATCCTTTAGCCTCTTCGTGACCACAGCTGTAAAAATAAAAATTTAAATGAGTTTAACTAATATTTATTGCGTTTTAAACCGTTAAAGTGTAATTAAATTCACAATTTCTTAAAATTTTATAGAAATACGACTTTCAAATACTATCTGTAATTTGTCCAATAAAAGTTCTTTATGTTAATATGCCGTTCGTAGTCCTACTATATTTTATTAGCAAATTTGGTCCCAATACTCGTAAATCGTCGAGGTAATCGCCAAATATTTGTCAAATAATAGACCGGCCATTATTATGAAACGCTCGAAGTGGGGCTAATCGCAATGCGGTTTCGATATTGAATCCCAGAATATGACCGCGTTTAGGCGCATGCAGTTTGATGCATATCGTGCGCTGCACATTTGAAACGGATTAGTACGCAGTCTTGCGTGAAAAACGGACTCGCCGTTAGCAAAGACCTACCCGAATTTATGCAATAGAAAATGAGAAAGAACATGTTAACATAAGAAGGAGGCGCTCGAAGGTCACGCTTAGGTCTCCAGTTTATTGTTGTTCTAATAATAGTGTGGACAGTGGTTGCGATGTGTGAGAGACATGTCTTGGTTTTCACTGTGGCAGCGCTAGCGGTGGCCTTTGTTGGATGCACTGGCAAACTTGCGCGTAAGTTTTTATTTCCCTATTGACTAACGAAAATTAATTGGTGATTGCTCAAGATTTTATCGTGATCAATTTAAGTGTTTTGTAAAATGCGTTGCATTTTCACCCTGGTGGGCAAAACGATATTCTCTGTGTCGTCGTTGATCGATTTTACTAAAAGGCAATTTTTTGATTATTTATTCCCCGGGATACGAACATAGGACCTCTTATACATGGCGTAAACTTGGGCAACGCTAAGCTTAATAAGCTCGGCAGTTGTATTATACTAACATTATTATTTTAATGATAATGAAATTAACTTAAAAAGATGTGGCATGTAGATATTTAAATTATGTTTTTTTTTTTTAGTTTTATAAATCACAATCACTCCTTTTAAAGCAATAATAATAGTTAAATATAAAACAATTTCAATTAATTTATAACGCATAAAATAACTGTTTTGTGATGATTACTACGTACGTGAGTATTACGTTGTGCAAACAAGTAATCAGACAAAAGAACGTTATGCATACCATACACTTAAATCAAATACTTTAACGGTTTAAAACGCGATATATATCGTGGTTTCCCTGTGTCTACCACGGCTGCTGCAAAACATCCGAGACATCGGGCGGAAGTTAAAATAATTTTCAAATAAGTTTAACTAATGTATATCGCGTTTTAAACCGTGAAAGTGATTTATTTAAATGTGTACTACTCGCTTAATACATTCAAAATTAATAACCCTAGACTTTATTAAAACATAAAAAATATACGCTTTAAATTTGCGGGTTTAACCCTCAAGTACTTAAACGCCATTCTGGGACCACACTAAGCTGGGATATAAAATTGCTTAATTCCTCATGCAAACCACTTAACCCTCGCCACACAGTACTAATTATGCACGATCTGCGGGTTTCCTAACTTAATGGATGTTTGTCAATCAAAAATTCAATGTTTGCCTAGCATTAACTTCATTGCACAGAGTTCCAATCTTTCCCTAGTAAGATTATGAAGGTTTTACTCAAGACACTAGATTTTATTCAAGATTTCACTTGTACCATACAAGTCCATACAAAATCTTCAATTCTTCAAAACTTCTTACTATAAGTGAAAAACTTTAAATGGAATGTTTGATTGAAAATTAAAGAAGGTAAATTAGATCGGTTATTGTTTAAAAGACACATTATTTATTCAATACTTTTAAGCTAAACCGAGATTTCGATGGATTTTTCAAAATCTATACATATACAGTGAAACTAAGCCTTAGTACGTGTTTATCCATTTAACGTAATCTATTGAAAAAACTACGTCAATTCGTGGTTTGATTTATACTAGTTGTACCACTTGAATAGGGTGTATTGTGTAGGCTTTAATCTTTATAACCCATTCTATTCCAGAACTCTGCAAGTATTAGACCAGAGATTTACCTCCTGACCTCATGATCGAAAGTCCCGAAGTCCGCTGTATTTTTATCCCATTAGCCAAGTCTTTTATTGCGACCGCACAGTAAACCAGACATTGCGTTAATGTATGGGTTTGGGGCGTCTTTGATGTCACGACGCCATTAATTGGCCCTCTCGAACGTCCCGACCGTACTCGACCGTACTAAATGTAGCGATATTGCTTATTTCATTCTACGTTCATTGATTGTTCGATATATTACACTAGAAAGGGATGTATATCTATACTCTATACTAATAAATAAAGAGTTTGTTTGTTTGAACAATGAACAACTTCGAATTGACTAATAAGATGAATTAAAGATTTCTCTTTAAAAGATCTAAAAAATATACGGTCTATCTTTTAAGATTAAGATCGCCTCGACGCGGACGACGTCGTGGACACAGCTAGTGTAAAATATATGGATGGTTTTACTTTTTTTAACTCTATGGATAAGAGGTTCTTCGATTTCTGGGGAAACTGCCTTGAATGACATACTATTATTTTTAGTCGGGGACATAGCTCTTCTCAACTTTAGTCCCTACCTTGAATTGATTACTTAAACGAACAGAATAGAAAATCAAAGAACATTTTGTATTATTTTAATTTGATTTTATCATATGACCACGAAACGAAGTAGCCTTGTCAAATACGTAAACTATGTTAGCTTTGACATAAAACCGCTTTTTTGCGTAAAAAGACGTTGCGTTCTGTTTAGATGTGTATATAGGATATATTTTATTGAGAAATAATGCAACTATATGTATAATAAAAAGCCGGGGTCTTCTAATGTATCCAAAATCTGTCATAAATAACACGTTATTACTTTATGATAAATTGCTACGAACTAATCATATGACTATTATCACAATATAAATATATTCATTGAATGAATCTCGGATTTTAATGACTTTTTAAGTGACTAGGTACAATAAGTTACAAAATAGGAAACATAAATCGAGACATAAACAAAACAACCACGGATATTGCATGACATTTTTCTAAAAATGACATATACAACCTTTTTTATGCAATTAACGTTATATATATTTTTATGATTTCAAAAAAAGAATTGAACTTTTAAGCGTTCACTGTTCTCAATTTGAATGTTAAATTATATATTTGCATATAGGTACTAAGCAGGACGATTCTCTTTTAAAATTAGAATTTATATAGAGCCTTCGCTCGATTGAATAACGAACAGAAAAGTCGAATTTTAACAACCTTCATCAGGCAACTCAGATGAGCCATAAAAAAGTTTATATGTACATACAAAGTTAAAACGTTCCGAACTCGCGCGTTGTACTCTGTCAAACTTTTCTTATTAGCTTAAACACTGTACTTTCGATTTCTGTACACAGATTAATTAATTATTGCGATTTATAAGCTCATAGAAGATAAACACGAACTATCTAATAACGACGTTTAACCTAGTTTAGGAACCACGCTAAGTCGGTCATATTTGGATATGGTCGTTTGTGTTGTTTGTTTCTGTGCTTATTTTGGACCCAACTTTTTAACTATCATAATTATTTTTGTGAACACTTATGTTATAATATAAATTATTAGTAGACTTGTGGCATGGCGCATTCTTTTTGAAATATTCCGAGATTTTAGGTTGGGAAAATAGAACACTGTTATAGAGAGTGGAAAGTTGGACTAAAACCGATAAAAATGTGTCTTAACTAACTAAGCTCAGGATCTCCAAGGAGTATTACTTTACGCAAAGTTACGTTTTGTAGTCTATATAGTGCTATAATCTATACTGCATATTAGAAGTACTTTTTAAGGGGATGCAGCCGTACAAATCCTAGCTACATAGAATTTTAAATGTAACGTTGTTCAAGGTTGATAATTTAGATATTACTACAAGTACTGGGTACAACTTCAATGTAGACAGAACAATTTGTGTCAGGAGCCACGTTTGTGTTAAACTGAATTCGCTCGATAATAATCGCAATTACATTACGTGTAATGTTGATTACTTGGCTTTTGATGAAATCGCTGGAACCGCTTTATATCTCAAAATTGTCACACTAAAATAGCGCTGCGTGATAACATCTGGTCATTACAGCATTCATTAGTAACGCCATATTAAAAATAACTACATGTGATAATACAAACGCAAATAATATAACACTGTTACACTCGTGATGGCGGCTGCTGTAAAGCATCCGAAATATCGGGTCAGAGTTTAAAATAAAATGTAAATTATTTTGCCGTTGAACTTTTTTTAAACCAGATCTTTTTTGAAAGCAATATTTTCGTATAGCGCGAGAGGTCCAGGGTTCGAATCCCAGGGAAAAAAAAATTGTTTTGGTCTGGCAGGTCACAGAAGTCTGATCCACTACTTGCCTGTTAAAGAACGGATCAGTGAAACGAACACAAAAATGTGTTCGCCCAATGCTCCACGAGGGGGAAACGGGAATTCACTCATTAATTTAATACTTTACGGTTAGAAAAAGGCTGTTTCTTAATATGTTATATTATTATACACAGAACAACCACATATACTTCAAGGATAGAATATTTATTTTTTAATTTCAGCTGATTTCATCCACCCCTGCAACAACACAGAATCGTCATGCCTGATTCAGGCTACGCAGGATGCGATTCCAGAGTTCTCGAAGGGTCTTCCACAGCTTGGCGTACCGGCTTTAGATCCGTTCGTCATCGAGGAGTTGCCAATTCAGCTGCCCGGGGTCAAGGTCACGTTTATTGATGGCAAGGTCACCGGATTGCGGAAGTGTCAAGTGCTAAACGTTGAGTGAGTGTGTTTTTTTTTATTTTTTATCATTTCAATAATAATTATAGAAATGCAAATGCTCTTGAATGAAAATTGGGTGTTTCTTTGCAAACAAAACTGTTTATGAGGTCTGTTTTAGTCACTGACTCTTAACAGCTTGTCTATACTATAACTTACACAAAATGGCGGCCCGATGTTAAGATCTCGTACGATTTATTTAATTTATTGAGATAAGTTCAACAACTTAGGTTTACCGATTCTTAAAATAAAAAGATAACAGTAATAAAACAATTAAAAGTAAACACCACTTATCGTTACAAACGAGTACATAATATGTTATATGTAAACCTAATTTAAACTTATGATATTATAATGATTAAGTACTGCTATAACAAAAGAACCTAATCTATATCTTTGCATAGGCTTATATTATTAATTCCTTCTTTAAATAAATGTATGAAACCCAAATTGTGAATAATATATTTGTACGTCAAAACGGCATACACAATTTCTATAAAATGTTCAGTGAAAAAGTGTCCTGTTCCCGCGTTTAAGTAAAATAACCATATCTTTTAATAGTTTTTTTAAAGAAGCTTCGATTGTTTAATTTTATTTTATTACTAACTAACAATTATTGATATCTCAAATACCTTCAAGCTATAAGGCTTCAGTCTCGAGGACGTTAATTTGGCTTACTGCCTTAACATACAGGGCTAAGCTGTATTCTTTACAATAATAAGATTAAAAGTAAAACCCGAACACAATGATATATAATTTGAAATTATATGAGTATTACGTGTTAAATGTAAACGCGTATAATAAATATTATGTCGTATAAAATAAAATTTAATAAATATATGAAAGGAGTAGAAATACTTCTAACAAATTATCAAAACAAAATCTCATTCCAAACATCAGACCCAAAATTTGGACGGGCTCGCTGGTCTAATGATGCCAATGAATTCCTAATATTCAGTTCGTGGGTTCGACCCCGCTGGATCCAACATTTTTTAAATCAATTAAAAAAAATCTGGAACATGTTGGACTTTGCAAAACGAAGATTCCGTCCGGGTCACGAACCAGTGGCCATAGATAAAGCCGTCAAGTTTAATCGCGTTTCAGTTTCAGTCTGTGGATTTCCAAATATCCAAAACCAAAATAACCCGACAGCGCATCTCGTTTAAACTTTTTAGGGCTTGGGTGTTTCTGTCCTTCTCTAGGATAAAATAAACAGGCTAATTTATATTATTCGATTATAATTGAAAATACTTAATTATAAAGCTTTTAAAAGTAACCGGATACTGTATATCTGCGGGTAGTTTTTTGATAAGTATCTGAATCTTTCTCTGTCCTGATTGGCGGAATTATATAATTATTATTAAATTAAAACTTACAGAAATAAATAAAAAAACACACTGCAATACTTAAAATTATTGGATTTGTACTAATTAAACATTTGAATGTTAGGCAGTACAACGTCCGCCAGGCGCCAAAAGACAAACTAAAAGGCCTTGTTACATTATTAATATGCCTAACACAATTTTCATGGAGCTAAATAATTACAGTAACTGACACAAGTTAGATATAATCGTCGCAATTAATTTAGTATGACAGGGTCGCAGTACATAATTCGCGATACTTGAAAACCTTAAACTTTAAAACTTGGCTACGGATGCAGGCTGCACAAATATAATGTTATCTATGCAAGTCTGAAGGCTGCATTTAGTACTTGGCAAATAACTTGTTCTAATTGGGTAAGAAGTGAGATATTATCGCAGCCCTACTGTAACAGCGCTTAAGAATTTTAAACGCACGTTAAACGAATATAATTTTATTTCGAATAAGATAAATCACATATCTTTGTCTGTTATATGTATAAAATTCGTAAATATTTCGTCTTTCCACCTCGAAATTCTTAAATCTGTTTTTTACTAATTGGTAGTTTTTATGTTAAAGAACTAGTGGAGAGAATAGTATGTTTTATTGTATCTAAAATAAAATACACGTAGTAATAATAAGTATGTATGGTGTTTATATAATACATCGTGCTTATGTGTATGCATTCTGGTCATGTCAAAATCGTCACAATAGAGGAATATCTTACAATAAAGAAGAATGAGATTATATGAAATATTTTGATGCTCGATAGAAAATGGAACTCCTCAGCGCGATCAAATAAGTGTGGACCTCATTACACTAACACAGCACTCCAAGACAACATAATATACAAGATAGATTATTAATATTTGTAATTGTAACATGATTTTACTTAATATAGGTCATTTACTTATTATGAAACACAATAATAACAAAAAATACTGTAATCTCATATAACTCTTAAATTATAATACAATAATTAATTATTTATACATTTATATTTATTCTATTAATTGTACTATCGCTAACCTTGTTTGTCCAAGAAAAATTGTATTTTATTGGACTAGGAGTTATATGGTTTCATTCTCATATATATTTTTTTATTTCAGAGCATACCTGGAAAAGAATATATTCATATTGGAAATACGATGCAACATAACAATCAAAGGAAAATATACGGCTGTGGGACGATTATTGCTTTTCCCGATCAATGGCGAGGGTGATTCTAAGATAAAAATTGGTACGTACTATTTTATATTTTGTTATACATTCATATTGATTGACGTTAGAGTAACTATGTGTATCTACGAGTATATGTACTTGTTTACACTTGTTTTGTTAGTCCGAAAATGATTAGCAATGTTTGTAAAACTTAGTATGTATTTTAAAACTACTAAATAAAGCTTTGGGCCTTTAAAGGTCTAAAAAGATTGAAGAACAAAAATTAAAAATACCTTATAAAAGGTTTTGTTTCCTATCGTTTAATGAGACATGCGTTTGTCCCTACTTGGAACTTCCTTCTACTTCTAAAATCCACAGACTGAGACGGAAAATGAATGAATCTTAATGGCTTTATTAGACGGTAGTTCGTGACCCGGGTGGAATTTCGATGTTGCGACCACACATTTAATATACCGATTTTCAACAACACGTTTCACAAAAACCATGAATTCGTAGATAGGTACATGTTGGATCCATGAATCGAGCCCACAAACAATTGATTATTAGTCATATATTTGAATTCTATATTTATTTTCGAGCGATTCCCTTTTTTTATGAAAATTAACCGTGCATTCTTTTACAGTTAATTCAGTGATTAAACTAAACATCAAAACGAAGTACTTTAAGGACGAGAACGGGAGAGATCATTTCGGAATAAAGAATTACAGATACGCTTTTGATTATGGGGACCGGGTTCATTACACGATCAATAACTTGTTTAAAGGAAATCCTGAGTTGAGTATGTGTTTTTATACCATTTTTCTTTGAGGTAAAATAATGATTAACAAAACAAAAACCTTTTGCATAAAAGGGTGTTAAATAATGGTTTTATAATTCATGATGTAACTTGAATTTATCTATTTTATGTGACGGTAAAAAGTTTGTTACACTGCTGTGCCCTGCAAAGCCGAAACTATTTACTACTGTGCCACTTTTAATGCAATAGTAGGAATTGCAATGAACAATGAATGATAGTCAAATATTTATAATAAAATGTTTGTCTAACACACGTATTTGTAGATTTCTTTAAAATCATGACTTTCTACAGCAGTAAAACAACCCATGTCTGTGTCTGTGTGTATGTAGTTTACACGAGTAGTACACGTTTAAATAAAACACTTTAACGGCTTTAAACGCGATATATATTAATTAAACTTATTTGGGTATTAATTTAATCTACAATCTCCCCGTGACCACGAGTCTAGACAACAAGTCTAACTGTAGTTAAAATACTTTTAACTAATAATTAACGCGTTTTAAACTGTTTAAGTGTTTTATTCAAATACACTAAAGAAAAAACAAATTCACTCTTTTTTATTTAATTTCAGGCAACACGGTCCTCCAATTCCTCAATGAAAATTGGAAAATCGTAACTGAGGAATTTGGCCAACCCGTCGTGGATTACGCCATGAACGTGACTATAGAAACAGCGAAGAAATTCTTCAGCGCAGTTCCGTATGATGAACTGCTATATGTGCCTATACCAAAGTACTGATCGTGAATTATTACGGTCCACTAGATATATTGGTCATGGCATTGGTGCAATAGAAGACTGTATAAAGTGAATACTAGATGGATGATTTGTTTTAGTACTTAACTAACGAAAACAAAAATACAAGCTCACCTTTCTAAATTCTTCATAAAAAGAACAGTTTCATACAAAAAGATAAAAACATTTATTATACTTACAGGCAATACTAGATCCCGCGACACACCAAATATGGTTGTAACATGATGGTTAAGGGGCGTTTCTTTGAATGTTTATATTTTAAAGGTAACGGGTGCCTTAATTGCATATTTACTGAAAATGAAATTTAAGCGATGTTTCATATCAAAAAACTACAAATTTGAAACGATTCTAGTATTAAAATACTTTTTCCTGTTGATTTTGTACAAGCAATGTGTAACACGGCAGGATCAATAAAAAAATAATTAATTCGTTTTAAGTCAACCGCTTACAGCTTATTCAAATCTGATTAAAATAATTAAAAATTTGACTACCTTTTGTACTCTTAATTCTTTTTGTATTCCTTAACTGTATTATTCTATTCTTGTTTTATTATTAAGTGATTTAGTTATATAATTTGAATTTTTGATCCTAATAATACGATTAAGTAGCACTGTTTAAATTAAGAAATTTTCTTCAAACTATTTGTTTGATAATCAATATCTTTTTAGTGAAAAAGTTACTTTACATACTTACGTTGTTTACTAATAATTCGTACTTTAAGAGCGTTTATTCTTTATGTATTAAAATTTTTAATAAACAATACGGATATTTTTATTGTCCTGCATTCACGTACATTGTTTCCTATTTACGGAATACAAATAAATTTTATGTCCTTGTTAATATAAATGTTGTCTTTTTAACAAACTATTAAAAAATGATTTGCCTAATTTCGGCAAATGTGTATAGTGTATGTATATGCACGTCCTTGATAACCAACTGACAATTGACACAACTTTTGTGTTCGCATGTCAATTGTCAACACATGTATCAATATTAGTATCGATATTTAGGTACATAACAGTAAAATACCGAACATTTCCTGGGTTCGATTCTAATTTTAATGAATAACAATGTCGTGTCAATGTGTTGTGAGTATTTATAACACCTTAACTTACAATCGAATTAATTTTATTACATGATATCAATCTGTAGGTAAAAAGATTATCTAAATATAATTAAAGCGATAGATAGCTGATAGTCGTGTGATTTGTTCATCTGATAACAATAATATCCTTGATAACTATAACAATTACTAAAAAACCATGGGAAAACATATGAGAAAAGAATAAAATCTGCTTTAGCGTTACCAATTGTTAATAACGTCAATTTGTTTTTTGTTGCAATGTTATCTTCCATTCTCTAGACCCTCTTTTAAGCGGATATAAAAATAGGAGTGAAACATTGAAATACGACTTGGTAAATGTCGTGACGTGACAAATAAAAATAATATTTATATGTATATATGTAACACAGACCAAACACACGAGACATAGCGGCAAGTTTAAATTTCAGCTGTCTCAATGTATTAGTATGGTCGCTTCCGTGACTGTATTATAAAAAGCTAAATTTGCCCTATTAAGCTAAAATATTTTTTTTAATCTGATTAAACTTTGTAAGAAAAAAGCTAAAAGCAATTAAAATAAAACATGTTAACGGGCTAAAACACGATATATTATTTTAACTACGGCCCGACGTTTCGGATGCTTTGCAGCAGCCGTGGTCAAGGGGAGACTAAAGATGGAGGGTGTCTCTGACGTTACAATAAAAAATACAACGCACCAGCTTTTCCGTCGAAGTTGGTATTTGGCAAAAATAATTTCAAAATAAGTTTAACTAATATGTATCGTGTTTTGAACCGCTAAAGTGTTTTATTTAAATGTATACTAATCGCGTAAACATAGAAATATGTTGTGCCCCTTCTCTGCATACAAGGTAATGAAATTACATTGACTGTGTTGAAATTACATACTGTTTTTTTTTCAAACTATTCCTTCCATAAGGATTAAGTAAGACAATTTTAAATATTCCGGTGATTTCAAATTATTATAAAATCTATCATCATTATCGCAGGCTATGCTCAGTATTGAAGAGAAAATTAAGATACACGCGTTAAAATATTATCTATTCTGTTGTTTCCGCGTTTCGGAGGTCATTTAGATTTTTTTGATTTGTCTAATGACGATTTCGGCATTGGCAACATTACAAGTAGATATGTATATTCAAACAACTAATATGTGAAAATTTTTCGAATAAATAATACTTTTTTATTAAAAATCACTGCTTACTTTTTTGTAATGTACATGGATAAAATAGCTGACTTTATCATTTTTTAATGTTATAGGTACTTATAAAATTATCGTAAAACAATAATAACGACACTTAAAAGTTAAAAACGCGGAATACGTTAGTTATCTTGTTTACATACTGTCTGTAGTTTACTGGAGTAGTACACACTGACGGATTAAAACGCGTTTCGGATGCAGCGGCCGTGGTCACAAAATGGGTGGTTAAAATAATTTTTAAATAAGTTTAAAGTAAATGTACATCGCGTTTAAAAAAGTTAAAGTGTTTTATTTAAATCAAAACTAAAACCGAATTTTTGAAGTCGGTTAAAATACAATCCAAACATCTGTTAATCATTAAAGAACAATAAACAATTAAAGCTATACTCACTTCTTGTTTTACTCATCATTATTATTTTTTGTTTCGAACGAAAAAATTAAAAATCCTCATTAAAAAAACATAATTTGATCGCGTTCAAGTTGTTAAGCTCAAAAACAACCGGTTGGCTACAATGTCAGCTTGAAGGTTCGATAGAATATCCAGTTAGATGATATAAGCCATTTACTTACTCCTCGTGCGGTCAGTGCGCTGCTAATCCTCCAGGTCAATTTTAGTTGTTCTCGATACCATGATCTTGCGAAAGGGTTGTGTTATTCTGTTAGTGTTGAGTTTTTATTATGTTGACGCGAAGCTAGCTCGTGAGTACATATTTATTCAATCTACCCGCTTTATCACATAACTCATAAATAGAAAAGAATACATTTTAAGTCTGTTGTTTTGTTCATTTTTTTACATAAATAGATATAGTCTATATTTTCTATTAGCTAAACAATAGACAATTACAATAAAATCTTTTTACTCAGGATTTATTTACAGTTTACATAAAAAAGTAAAGGTAAGTAGGTATGTTTATATATATAAAATATATAGATCTTCGTGATTCGTCACTAACTGACATCTATTGCAATTAAAAGGTAGTTGTTTACTTTCTAATCCTGTGTTATAAAGATTAGACTTATCATGTCAAGGGTGTGAAGAACAAGCAATAAGCAGAATAATATTATTAGAATTCGACTACAGTTGATATAATATTTTATAGTTGGTTCTTTTCGTTTACAAAATTTCCATACAGAACTTAATATTTTTTTGTAGTTTCGATTCGTAAGTATTACTTTAATTATATACAATAAGTCATGTTTAATTTTCGGTAATTGTACACTATGAAATAATAACATGAGATGTCAAGGTTGCTTATCTTCAAATGCCTTATTTATTATCTGATATTCAAACATGGAGAACATAGACCTGATTTTTTTGTATAATGTATAGGAAATTTATTATGTAAATGCAAATATATAGTTTCGAAACTTGACTTTATAGTTTAAAATTCAAATTAGTATCCAACTCGCCTTATGATAAAAAAACATACCTTATAACACAAGAATGTTATAATTTATATGAGTATAATACGATAAATATTAACCAAATAAAGTCACTAATATTAAGTGTATGTCTAATTAATTAAAATTCTTATGCGTGTACAATGGGAATACTTTTTTCTTTTGTGAGACAACAAATTAGTATTATAATGCATAAACACGACCAGACCAAAATACTTTTCTGTATCCCTTATACCTTCTGGGAATCAAACCGAGGATCTCTTATCCTTAATGCATATCGTTTTACGTAGTGTGGTTTAGAACTTCGGTGGAGGGATGGGTCGTATTATTTGTCTACTACTATTACTACCATATTATTTATGGAAATTAAAATATATTTTTGACGAGTCGGTGTAATGTTCTCCCTATAATCAACGTGTCGTGGATTCGATCTCCACCGGTTTTAATATGTCTATTAAAATGCAAATTTGAACATATATAATTCTGAAATGTATAGGATTTCACCTAAAAATTAGGATATTAAATCTGTGGACGGAATATCGAAATTCTGTCCAGATTACGAACTAACGTCCACAGATCCGTCTGGAAAGACTTTTGTCTTTTTTTTTAACATAGTGCTTTGATTTCAGTCTACGTATTGGAGTATGTGTAAAGCCAAAATAGGTCGATAATATATATTGTTTTTATGTTGCATGGCTGTATCCTATGCTGTCCTCCTCTTGCATAAAAAATAAATATTTCTTAACCCTCAATACAATATCCTCAACAAGTATTAATTCAACTATCAAGAAACAATCACTGTGAAGATTGCTAAGAATATTACAATTTATTAACACAAAGTATACAATTAAGGCCTGAAAGAAAACTCATTACTTTCTATATTGTTTCATTATACTTACGCTAGCTATGATTTCTTAGTATGTAAGACAATGTTACAAGTTTATCTATTATAAGCTCTTATTTTGCTGGATTCACTATTATTGTAAAAAAATACTAAAAGATAAAGACGCAAATCATACTGATGTTTCTGTAGAATAAAAAAGACACTTTGAAGCCAAAATAAGTCGATAGCATATAGTAAGAAGAATAGTTCGTTCAGCTTTTCTCTATTACTTCGCTCCTATAGGTGCCTGATGTCTTAAGCCTTCCTCGACAAATGCTCAACAAAAAAGTTTGTTTCAAATCAAACCAGTAGTACCAGTAGCGTCTTCGAACAAGCAATCAAACATCCCCTTCAATCTTATAATATTAGTATAGTAAACGCAAACAACATCAATAAGATAGTCAAGTTGATAGCTTCTGCAATTGTCAGGTCGTCATTAGAGATTATTTAACGTACAGAAACGTCTTGGAAACCGTTTGAACGTGTTTATTTCAAAAAAAATTTTGTGTCTTTTCAGCTGATTTCATCCACCCGTGTAATCAAACAACGAGGGAATGTCTTGTCAAATCGACTCAAGACGCAATACCAGAGTTTGTGAAAGGTTTGCCGCATCTTGGCGTGCCTTCACTGGATCCATTCGTAATAGAAAAGCTATCGATACCTCTTAGTGGTCTCAAAGTTACGTTCTATCAAGGTAAAGTGACCGGCTTTAGGAAGTGCATCGTCGACGACGTGATGTAAGTGTTAATTCTTTAACAAAATTATGCTAATTTAATAAATGCTTGGTTATTTTTTATGTTATTTTACACTTTGTATCTGGCTGACTAGTATTTGAGGTCATAATAACTTCATTGTAAGATTTAAAATCAAGTTAGATTATAAACTACTTAGCGAGTGTATGTCAAAATAATATTAGTGGGTATCTCATAATTAACGCTTTATTTTTTGGAAATCAATCAGACATGGCATGGCATGACACTTGATATACCCCAGCCTATAGTATACAAAATGCGCTATTGACCTATTTCGGCTTTGTATATTCGGAAGTCCACAGACCGAAACAGAAACGCGATTAAGCTTCACGGCTTTTTCATTGGTGGACGGTGGTTTGTGACCCGGGCGGAATTTCGGTATATCTACCCATTTTATATCCAGATTTCCAGACGGAGTTCAGCATGTAACATGTTTCAGAGAAACTATAAATTGAAAAATTAGTTAAACTTATTTGAAAATGATTTTTAACTTCGGCCCGACGTTTCGGATGCTTTGCAGCAGCCGTGGTCACGGGGAGACTGAGTGACCAGTGACCCCGTGACCACGGCTGCTGCAAAGCATCCGAAACGTCGGGCCGAAGTTAAAAATCATTTTCAAATAAGTTTAACTAATATATCGCGTTTTAAACCGTTAAAGTGTTTTATTTAAATGTGTACTACTCGCGTAAACTATAGACAGTATTTTTTGAAAAATTAGATACATATTGGACCGGTGGACATCGAACCCTCGACTCATTGATCATTAGCCATACATGGCTACCATTAGACCAACGAGCCCTTCAAATCGTCTATCTGCATATAAAATGAGAAATCACGCCAGTTGCACAGTTTTTTAACTTAAACCAAATTTACAGACACAAAATATACCAAAACTTCTCGCTGTACGCAAAAATTAACATCAGCTTAACTTCGAAAACGCTTGCATTATGCATTGCCATTAATTAAAAATAAAATAACTTGCTTTGGAGGTTAAGACCTTTCGTATCTAGATTCGTATTAATGCAAGGCCCGAAAAACTGATTTAAAAAAAAAAACCGGATTAAGAAGTGACAATATGCAATTCACTAGCTGTGTCAGCGACTTCGCCTGCGAGGATCGTTATTTTGGGCATCCAAATTCGTTTTTGGACTGGATCTTTATAAACTTAAACTGTTACCCATGAGGTCGGTCGCGTTCCTTCCCGTCGTTCTTGCAATTTGATCTTAAAATATAGACATTTAGTTCGCGGACATTTTTTAGATCATTCTTTCATACATACTGTCTATAGTTTACGTGAGTAGTACACATTTAAATAAAACACTTTAACGGTTTAAAACGCGATATATTAGTTAAACTTATTTGGAAATGATTTACTTCGGCCCGACGTTTCGGATTCTTTGCAGCAGCCGTGGTCACGGGGAGACTTCCAAATCCAGAAATCATTTCCAAATAAGTTTACCTAATATATCGCGTTTTAAACCGTTAAAGTGTTTTATTTTGCAGCGTACGCGTCGAAAACCTACAAAGATGAATAATTATCCTCGTTTATTCTACATTTGCCGCTGTTTCGTCGCTCCTACTAGTCACAGCGATATGCTTTAGCCTTTCTCAATAAATGCTCTAACAAACACATAAAAGAATTCTTCAATTCGAACCAGTAGTTCCTGAGATTAGCGCGTTCAAAAAAAGAAACAAACTCTTCAGCTTTATATCTTATAGATTGTCACGATACTTTTATCAATTGATATTGCATAAATAATTCACTTTATGCTAGTATATTTCGTAGCAACGAAAATTGTCTTAACACAATATCCCCGCCTCAGTTCTACGTTAATTAATTAAATTAATCTTGAGAGCTTTGGGAAACGTAACCGCGTGACTTAAACGTAGATAAATGAATTTGGCTCCCTAAATTTTACTTCTTTTTATTCTTATTTGAAACTCTGTAATTTAAAAATTAAACATCAATACATAAAATAAATTAAAATTTTTGTGGCTAACATTTATACTATGAATGTTCAAAAAAGATATTTAAACCTTATTTAATAAATAATTGTGAGAATACACCTTTTGTAGAAAATGCAGTCTATACTAATAAATTGTTATGTATTTATATAATAATTAGTTGACAACTTTATTGCACTAAAACATTTAAAACCATTTGCTTATATTCTTCGATTATAAGCAATGCACATGTAACCTGATAAAGAATAAATCTTCAGGGATGTACAAATGTAATGTAATAGTAATAGTATAAGTTATAAATGTTCCAATCGTTTTTTACTTACTGGTTTTGACATTTACGACACAAATGATCAGTTCTTCTTCATTGGTCTCGTCTAACTTGGTCGAACGAGACCTAAATTGTCGAAAATCGACCATTTCCAACTACACAAGAGTGTAACGTAAAATAAGATTACTAAGCTTAAGTTTTAAAGTAGAACATTATTTCTTTTACAGCGATGAAATATCTAATAGTCAATTTCGTTTTATTTTTTCAGTTCTGAATTAGAAAAGCGACACTTCGTTTTGCAGTTCCACTGCAATTTAACGATAAAAGGACAGTATGACGCAGTTGGGAAGATATTGCTATTTCCCATAAATGGAGAGGGCGACGCTAAAGTCAAACTAAGTAAGGTTTAGCTTAGTGTATTCGTATAATTATTATAAGGTTATACGTCCATACGCACGAACAATATGTGTTGAAGTCTCGTTGTAAGTTTATAGGCTAGTTGAACCGGCAAATGTTCTTTTGCGACATGAAGTATTAAGAATACATTCTACTATCATAAAAAAGGTTCCTGTGAGTAAATAAAAGATAGACATATACTGTCACTGGTATTTTTCAATAGAATCAGCAGATTTTTAATTTAATGGTTCAACCAACAAAAATATTTTTTCAATTGGAGCCAGTAATTCCTGAGATTAGCGCGTTCAAACAAACATGCTCTTCAGCTTTCTAATATTAGTAAAGATAGGAGTCTGTTGCATAAATCGATTTTATTTAGAGGCAGGTACTCATTCGATCAGACCTGAGTTGTCTGCGTGACTATTATTCCCCAGGAATCGAACCCAAAACTGCCTGCGCTCAACGCTATGCTGGGCATTGCATTACGATAACGATACGGTGATAAGCTGCAATATCTAGGCTAATATTGTGCATGACTTGACTCTCTATATATTAAAATCAGTGTTTCAGGTGCAATATATTATGTAGAAAGCCTTTATAAGTCTTATTCCTTCTAATTCCCTTCCTTGTTCCTAAAACTTTAAACTGCGCTGTAAAATATTGGCAAACTTATTTCATGAATGAATAAGAGCATCTACTTTTTTGCATTTCTAGCAAACTTACGAATGAAAGTGGACATCAATACGAAATACACAAAAGATGAGCAAGGAAGAAATCACTTCGGGCTGAAGAATTACAAATACACATTCGATTACGGCGACAGAGTCACATTTGATCTTCAGAATTTGTTCAAAGAAAGCAAGGAATTAAGTAAGGGATTATTATGTTTAGGTGTAAGGTTGTTTAGGTTTATATTAGAGCCGACAAGCATGATCCAATAGACTTCAATTGACGACGTTTTAACCAGAATTGTTCCAGCCTTTGTGAACATATTTAATTTCAATGACATTGATACAAATAGCTTGACACCCCTGCATTAAAATGGCGGCTGTATTTTAAGCGCAAGAGTTTAAAATATACACAGCTGGCCAATATAATAGTTATTCTTTTATCTACGGTTTTATTAGGTAAAAAGCTCTTAACTGACGAGTTTTGAGAATGATAAACAAAGAATTTTAATTTTATTCTAACTCACGCTGTAAAGCATCCATCCATGTTGGATGCTTTACAGCGGTTACCAACATTATAAAAATGATACAAAACCGTTGGATGTTAACGCCTTCTAAAATGCGTTGCTTAGATAATGTTTTATTTTTAACGAATTTAATTAAGTCCTAAACGCCGACACGGTTCGTAATATAATTACAAGGGTGTAGGGTAGAAGGCACCTCAGAAATTAATTATGCGAGTAAACTGCGCACCGCATACATAAAAATAATTAACGAAAATCTTGAGTTGCTCCTACGTAAATTACATAGTACATTAGCATCTAGATTGTGCGAAATGTCCTTGCCTTTTAAAACCTTCGAGGAGCGGAATGTAGCTTTGACTAAAAATTAAACAGTTGGCTGGGCTGGATCGAAATTGAAGCATTCATTTGGTAGTTAGATATAATTATCTAAATTCTGTGTACTTTATATACATATACATTTTGAACTGAATCGTGTTGCATCCAAGAAGGCAATACTTGTTTTTACCTCACTATCATTATACAACCAAGAATACATTATATTACTGAATCTTTGAAAAGGTATCTTTACTATTTTTGCAAGTACCCTGACTCTGCGAATCCCAGATTTCGTGTTCGTACCAAAGACATCTTACGCAAAATCCAACAAAGCAACGCATGTACATAACAGTTTCGAACATTAAAAGGTTTTTTTATTATTTTTATATATAGGTAAATTCATAGGTGTATTATATGTACAATATAATTAATTATATAATTGATTACAGGTGCAACAGTACTAAGTTTCCTGAATGAAAATTGGAAAACAGTAGCCGAAGAATTTGGAAAGCCGATCGTTGATTATTCAGTTGATTTAGCTATAAGAACTATTGAGAAATTCTTTGTCGAAGTTCCTTACGAGGAACTCATTAATGTGCCAATACCTCAAAATTAATAATATATAAGAGTATTGCTATTTGTGTTTTCGAGGTTTACGACCGTCGTAATTGAGAAATGGTCGATTCGGCACCACGTTTCTAAATTACTACCGCGAATAGCTCAAAAACTCAAATAACTTACCAAGATGGCCGAGAGAGATGCAATTTTTATACGAGATTATTGAATAAAGGATCAAGGTAAACCAAAGGTAAAAAAGGATGGAAGTAGTGTAACTAATTGATTTGAATAAACTTTAGTTAGAATTATGGTGTGTTTTTTATTATTAATATTAGACATTTTTAATAAATCTATTGGTTCTGTTACTTAATACTTCATAGATACAAGTGAATTGCTATTTTACCTTCACAAAATAGACACTTTTCAGTCTCCTTATTGCTAATATACAGTAATGTATTTAATTGTATTTATGTACCTATATGCGAGTAGTGCCGACTTGAACAGTCTTATAGATGTTATCTTCCCGGGTTTCAAACACATAGATAATGAATGAATGCAGTCGATTTAAACAATCATAAGTAAAGCTTATGCTTGTCTTTTCCCGTCTATCATAAAAAAGAAAAATGGTAATGTTTAATAAAAAAAGACGAAATTCTTTCAAAAAAAGCATTCTCATTTCATATTCTTGCAAACAAGTATATCGTATTTCACATAAAGTAATTAATAAATAATTAAAACCTCAGAGTTCTGGGAGAGCACCCACTTTTTAATTTTGTTTTAGGTCAACGTCACTGAACTTGTCGCGGCCAACAACTCAATTTAATCGTTATTTAACTTAACTACCTCGACCAACTTGATAGCTAATAATTTGTTCTTTCTTATTACCTTCATATTGAAAAATCAAAGCCTTTGTTTTGATTTAAAAAACTACGCATTTTTAAAATCAAAGATAACTTGCAATGATACTAGACCTACTAGATTTTCCACTTAACCAAATGGTTAAATGCCACAATTGCACTAACAGCGAAAGGTCCTTCTCGGTATTCGGTAGCTCAATTGGTAGAGCAACCGCACGGAACGCTGACGATGCTGGTTTAAGTCCTGCCCGAGTCGAAAATTTTTTCAATGTATTTTCGAGTTTTTAATTATAAAGTCGATCAGTCTAACAGATACATTATAAAATTAAAAGTGATTATAAAGTGAAAAATATTACGACTCAGGCATAATTTGAACCGGCATCCACAGCGTACCGTGCTCTAACCAATTGAGCTACCGAGTACTACATATTATCGTCGAATATCAACCAATTCATACATGCACCTGTCTCACAATGTTTAAATTTTTATTGTGTATAGTGCCATCGTGTGAAAAGTATTACAGTTTCAGTTATCTGAATTATTGCAACTTGATAAAAATTTACACAGAATTCGAACCTACGACCTAGGATGCAGTCTATGAGTCGAAGAGCAGTGTCCTCATAGACAAGTTTTTATGTTTTCAATAAATGACACAAGAAGTACGTTTAGCTGTCAATAAAACCAATAGAGATTCAGCCATTTTGTTTTCGCAATAACTCAATCCTATAATTCCGTCGTTAAACCAATGTAGGGGAGTCTCGTAATAATATATCTTGTATCTATGACTATTTGTCACAGTTGGCAAGGACAGGAGTCACGCCCTTTCGTAGTCTTTGTCAAACTGGCAACATTCTCCTACATTTCGGGTAATACCTTGATAATAATAGCTCTAAATGTTGAGACGGCTTGCGTTACCCCTATGTGGCATGAAGGCATATAGGGGCATGGGGCAGGGTCCTTTCTGTGTCAGTTTCTCATTTCTGTGTCTCTTAATCCTCAACATTCAAACCAAGTCGTATTAAATATTGTAGAATTAATTAAAAGAGTAATCACAAATACTAATATATAGGATAAGAAAGAAAGAGAAATAACATAGATATTTAATCAAGGCAAGAAAACAATTTGTCAAATGTATTTAAAAAAAGTTTTACATTAATAATACACGGCACAAAAGCCAAATTTGAGATATATGTGTTATAAACAAAAATATATGCTTAATACCTTTTCTCGTTTATTTTGGATCAAATAAACATTTTTTTTTCATTAAAATTTGCGTAATTTAATAATTCAAAACAGCCTTAAGTAAAGTCTAATTAATTTAAAAACGAGAGCTTCTAGACAAATTAGATTCTGAACTGAAAACAAGTTATAAAATATTGATCTAAGACCTTTACCTTGTAATACTTTGTACCATTACAAAGTACAATACAGAAGCAATACAGTAACAATTATTTCTTTATAATACAACTATAGTGTTATAAAATATTCAAGATAATGGCAGGTTAAAAGTCACGGCTTTCAGCCTCATTAATAATTCTATAGCAGTTATTACAGTTAGTCGTACGTGGTAAGGAATTCTATTGCACAGTAAATTATAGGGACATTACAATTGGCTTTGTATTTTTACTGCTTGGTTAAGTAAAAATACTTTTCAGATGTACTTTGTTGTACTTTGAAACGTTATTTTTATTTAAATAAATAAAATTAACGAAATATAACTTTAATTTAAATAGTGTCTATAGTTTAGGCGAGTAGTGCACATTTAAATAAAACACTTTAACGGTTTAAAACGCGATATATTAGTAAAACTTATTTAAAAATGATTTTTAATTACGGCCCGACGTCTCGGATGCTTTGGAGCAACCGTGGTCACGGGGAGACTTTTAGTTATTATACTTCCGTATAATAACTAAAAATATAATTGTTTTAAACTACTTTATCTGTCCTCTATCAATTCCTTTATCCAACATACGCCGAGTCCATTCCTTTTGTAGATCTTTGTTTTTTTTAAATTCTAAGACATGACAATTTCCTAAAAACTTATTTTCCAGAGAGTATGTATAAGAATGTACAAAAAGTTGTATATTTTGGCGCTCGTCTAAGGATCAAAATTCGTATGGCATTCTTAACAGTACATATTACAGTAAGGCGCACGACTTGGTGGAGAGGCCGGATAGATCGAGGGGGACTTTTTATGGACGTCCTAAGGTACTGAAAACGGTATGTATCAACCGCTAGACGGTTTCTTAACTGGTTTTCATTAATATTATTAAGAATTGTAAATGACAATAAGTTAAATAAAAACTTCCGTCCTCATAAACGTATGTCGTACATACCAGTACATAATATCTTATATATTATCCTTTTATTGCTCTATCAAACAATACATTGGAATTGTGACTATAACAAGAGTGACAGTACCATCCACGACACAATTATTCCCGCTACGTATATATTAAAATTCATACGAAGTTTATATTCACTCTCTCACTACAACCTCGTGTAATAAGGCTCTTCATAAGACATTTCATAGCATTTCCCTCGACACAAGTATTTGACTCCAGAAAACACGTGAACGTATCAAAATGCATTTGAGTTTCAATTCTGTAAATAATTACGAAACGTAACTCAAACTAAAACATTATTCAGACGTGCTTATGTGAAGTATTTTAAAACCAGTACGTTCCTAGAGCCACGTCATTATCTTCTGGCTACGGAATATGCCCTTGCGAAAGTATTGAACGACAAATAGGAATTCCAAGTACTTTAATCCACTCGATATGTGGAATACGTTTTTCGTACTTGCGTTGTCGATTCGTGGCGCTTGCGTTGTGTTCTTAGTATAAACGAACTATGAGGGTAAAGATAAAATTACAGATAAAAAGCAAATACATAACTGAGGTTTAGAATCAAATTTATGGCTCACAGTAAACTGTTAAGCGCACGACGTTCTAATCTAACTAGTTGAAATGGATACATATAACTATCAAATAATTTAAGATATGATAATATAAATACATTGCTGTAATATTGTGGACATATACCAATACAAAATCTACCTATTCCATTAAAAAGCCTTATAAAATAAGGTTTTACGAGTGAAACTTTTTGGATGTTAATAAAAATATAAAAAAAATGAATATCATAATAATATAATGTATTCTTTATTTCAAACACTACGAGAATGCTAAAAATATTAAATGATAATTTAAGTAAGGACCTAGTCATGGAGCACTAGACAAAATTCCCGACTAGCGACTAAATATAAACAGCGACCACAAATACGAACAAAGCATGAATTAGTAAAAACGAAGCTTGAAGTCGCGCGAATAATCGCATCGTAGCAGGCGATAAAAGTCGAAAAATCATTTGAATCCCCAGTTCACAATTTTACAAGTGGCGTTAACTATATTGTGAAAAACAGAATATTAGGTACGCAGCGACCTGCTTTAATTCAATTAAGAAATTAACGTCACGAGGTACCAACGTTTTAACTCAATTAGTCACATAACACAACACTGCACTTCAATCCCTAATATCTGATTGACGGTAATTGGTTAAACGGTTTTAGAATAGGAATTATTCATTTACACAGTCTTGTTAATTCCATAACCTTAACATCTCTAATTGCTTTTGATTTAATGTTGAACTTAGAACGTTTCTCCCAAGATTTGGTCAATATAAATTATTATCGTTTTTAGATTAGTTGATAAGGAATAAGAAACACTCCTAAAGTGTTTAAAATTTGTCTTACAATATAGTGGATTGTTTCACATGAGTTAGTAGTTATCTTACAAAATTGCAACAAGAAAAACAGAAGTGACGTTATGTTGTTCATGCTTTAAACGACTAGGCTTACGCACTAAGGCATTAAGTAAGGAAATAATATAGTATTTTCCAAGAACGATTCACTCCGATTCTAAAGTCGTCACGATGATCGCTTGACGATTTGCTAGCTTCAAACTACAAAGATAGATTGAAAAGGCGCAAAATATACGTTTCAGATACTTGCAACAAAGCATACCGAGCATATTTCTCGTTCAAACCGTAATAAACAGTTTATTTAAAAGTCTATAGTAGTTAAATATATAAAAATAGTGTGCGACGTCTCAACGCGATAAATCTTCACTGCGACTTATAAGACCGAAGAAACAGAGGGAAATGTGGGAAAATAGCGGATTTTATTCATTTCTGAGGGTTC